AGTAGAGATACTTTTCAGTAATTTTATGAGCAATTTCGAAAAAATTTAACATTTTGATTAAGAGTACACCGGATTGACATAGACATTTAAAAACATACCCTCAAATGTAATTGATACTTTGCAATCTTTTAAGGGCTAGCTTTCTATGCGCCCCCTACATCATAGAAGTTCTATCATCTCCTTACCATCCAACCATCCAATTTTGATCAAGAAAACCACTAACTGTTTGATCTTAGATCCGACGTCTCAAAGTATTTTATATTTAGTTTTTTTTTATACAAATTGTATGAAGATGAAATTTGGTACATGCTATCTTCTCATTGGGGCACACCTATGATCAAAATGCCCTTTGAAACTTTCAAGGGTATTTTGATCATTTTATTTATTGAAAATAGTTTTTTTATTTTTCGATAGTACGAGTTTAATAGAGAAATGGACGTCCAAAATTTAATATCAAAACAGTTTATAGAAAAAAAAATTAAAAATAAAATAATTAGTATCAAAACAGTTTATAGAATAAAAAATAAAAAAAATATAATATAAAGACGTGACATTGTGATTGGGTCAATCTTAACCCTCGATTGTGATTGGGAGGCATGGATAAGGGGGAGGATACCTTTCCCATCTCCTTTGACCACGGATGATATTCTTCCTGGTTTCAAGTTACATTTTTTTGTATTTATTTGTATAAAACATTTAAAAGTTAGCCTTGAAGTTACACACAATTTCTTGGTATGTTATTTATATAAAATATTTAAACAACAGCTCTGCCTCCATGCAGGATCGAACTACAGACCTTCAGTTTACAAGACTGACGCTCTACCACTGAGCTATAGAGGCTCATGTGATTGTCTAGGTAATAACTAATTATCTATAACAAATACAATTTACCCAGGAAGAACTCAAAAAAGTATTTCGTGCTGGTTTTTCTACAGTTTCTTGGCATGTTCCTGACCAGCAGATATCAACCATGGATGGTTGCGGCTAAAAACCCTTCGGCACACACCATGGTTCGAGATCGGACAGTTGGGTACGTGATATGAAATTTAGAAAAGCCAATAGCTAGCATTGTACACAAACTCTTCCATTTATCCAATCAAAGTGTCATAGAAAACTCTTTTTTTCAAATTAAAGGAAAATTTAGAGGTTTTTTAAAAGCAAACCCATATGTTGGGTATTTAAAATGTAAGGCAGAAATAAGAGCTATTTCATGTTGGAGTTATTTGAAATCTTGTGTGGTTGCATCTTATCAACATCATGGATAAGAGCCACTTAAGTATAGGTTGAGATGTAGATCCGGTGTCGGAATCATAAGATGGATTGAAAATCAATTTTCAATCTTAATTAGGTTTACATATGACGCCATTCTTATAATTTATAAGATGTGTGGTTGCATCTTATCAACATCATGGATAAGGCCACCATATACTATACAACGAAGGAGTACCTCCAAATTTTGCCAGAAGATGTAGATCCGGTGTCGGAAACCAAAAGATGGATTGAAAATCAATTTTCAACCCTAATTAGGTTTACATAAGACCCCATTCTTATAATGTAAAATTAAGGTGCATCTCTAAATATTGCATGGAGATATATTTTTGATGTCAAAAACTTTATAATTGATTGAAAATCTATTTTCATCTTAACTTATAAAGTTTAAAATTAAAAACATAGTTCAGATAGAACAAACACTTGAAAATCTTACAAAAAAATACTCCAGATAACTTGTTACAAGATGCATTATTTTTAGGATTTGAAAAACGTTTTTTCTTCATATTCATACATCTCGAGGTCAATATAATCAATTCAATGGTTTTTCAAAATAAAAAAACTCTCTTCTATAGGAATTTTGTGGTGCACCTTACTTCAATAGTATAAGGCTAACACCTTGGAAATGGGCTGAGGACAAGGTGGCACTTTCTTCGATGACCCATAAAAACTCCAGGTCTCCATTCCCACCAAAAAAACTTGTTACTGTTCAATTGATAGAAAAATAAACAAGAAGCATTATTCTTACAATGTGAAAAATGAACACTATCATTTTTCTTAAAATCAATGACGTAGTTAAATCAACAACTTTATCAATAAAGTGGTTGCTTTCTCAATATCCTTTTGTTTGGATATACATCTTTAAGAATTTTGTCAAAAATCACCCAAATTGCCTTCTTCAAGTTTTGTAACACGGAACAAGTGAGAGCAGTTGGCAATTTGATCCACTTAAGCTACTTGAGCCCCACTGGTTCTTGATTCCAAACTCGGAATATGCTTTTTAATTAAAAAATATTGATTCAGGTTTAAAACTAGAACAATAAGGACATTTTGGTAATGCAACTCAAGTCACTTAGGCCAATAAATGTAAATATACTTTCATATTTGAACAAGATTTTCTTTTTAATATAATAAACAAGAATATTTATGTCATTTGACTCGAGTAACTCAAGTTTTAAATTACTAAATTACCTCAGTTGCTTAATGTTTGAATCTTGTCTAACAATTTAGGCTAGGTGAGAACGTACCTATATACTAATGATTATTAAAATTAACCACTTTGTTCGTGAATTAGTTGATTTAATCACATCATTATTAAAATAATCACTTTGTTGGTAAATTAGTTCATCCAACAACATCATTAACTTTTCTAGTTTTATTTGAGGTCGACATTTTTACCAAAAAATTAAATAACTCAGTCCAACTAGGAACTTTATCACCCGGCCAATTTCAAATCCCCAAACAAATGGGCTCTCGAATGATTTGATCGTGGATTGAAAACACACCATCACCTTGGGCAAATCCTGGTTCGCTTCGGTCTCACTCTCGGTCACGGTGTGCAAGAAATAGAACCCATGATGATCGGGTCATTTGTACCCGGCTCATTTCAAATCGCAAGGCTGCTTTTGAAACATGTTGCCCTTTCTTCACAAAAGCAACTCATCTTTGCAGACTAGAGATTTCCCCTTATATTCTAGAGAATTTATCGTAAATGTACTTTAATTTAAGCTTAATTGAAAAAAACTCCGAACTTTTGTTTACTTCGTCTACACCTTTTTTTTTTTTTTGGCTTTTATTGGGACCACTTTCACGGTACTCTTACTGCTGCAATACATATCATTTTATACGGTATTTAAAATACCATAGTAAGTTTAAGTAATATTATGGTACTTTAAGTACCGTCAAACTCTGGCTATGACCATGAAGCCAATTATAGTACTTTAAGTATCATAAAAGCTAAAACTCATTATACGGGATTTTAAGTACCATAAACACTAACCCATCTTATACGGCATTTAAAATGTCAAAAATCCTTTTTTCATTATGTTTATCGCTTCATCTTTAATTATTTTTATGTTTATCTCTTCTTTCTCTCTATGGGTTAGTATTTACGGTACTTAAAATGTTGTATAAGGGTTAGTGTAAGTTTACGGTACTTAAAGTACCTAAAATGCCTTCAATATTACGGTACTAAAAATACCATATAAAATTCTCTGAGTATTACGGTAATACAATTACCGTAAAAGTCATTTTAATAAATAAATAAACCAAAAATGAGAAAAAAAGTGCAAACGAGATAAACAAAAGTTTGAGATTTTTTTCTAATTAAGGTTAAATTAAAGTATATTTACAATAATTTCCTATATTCTATCAAATATGAGATTGTATACAATGAGACCATTACTTTTCATACACAAAGGTCACAACCATCTCAAACTAGATTTAAAATTGGATTGGACGGGGTGTATCATTTAACTGCAAAAAGTTACGAAAGATTTCACGAACTTCAAACTTAATCGATGATAAACAACCAACTGCCCTATTTCACATATGACGGGCAACGACTAGAAGAAATTGTGACCTTTAATATCAAAAGTAAGCAACCCAATTTCTAACTGAAATATGAGTTCACATCATTTTTAAATATAACCAATTGGGTTTAAGTTGAATCTTTATTTGTGTTTTTCTGCAGTTCCCATGAAGAGGAATTTCAATACCAAATCGCAAAGAATATTGCAAAAGACCTTGCAACACATGCGACATATAGAGCAACCTGCAATATAAGTTTGCCACATAGAAACATCAGGACGGTAGGGCCCTCTCCCCACATATTCACCCAAAAAGTTTCTATAAGGCCTAGGTTTTATGAAAACAACATAAAACCTCATCAACATAAAGCCTCACCTTGAATTCTCGTCCCTACAACACTTTGGGTATCATAAACAGGGTCGTAGGGGCCCTCTCCTCACTTATTCACCCAAAAAAAAGGATGCAGTTTCTATAAGGCCTAAGTTTTATGAAAACAACGTAAAGCCTCATCAACATAAGGCCTCACCTTGAATTCTTATTCGACCGTAAAGCACTTTGGGTATATGCATGATAGCTCTAAAATCAATTTCCAATATCATCTATGAGATCTGAAGCTCAAAAAATGGTATAGATCTTATGGATCTATGAATACTTATTTCTTAGGCAAAATGAACAATCTAGATAATATGCTACAACATATATATTATTTTTAGGTTTAAAATCCCAATTTTTTTTTCACAGCCATAATGATCATCGATTTCAAGGTTTTCTAATGCCAGAACTACTATTTGCACTAGGTTTTGAGGCGAGGCTTTATTTATTCTAATAGGGTTACAGCCTATCAAAGCATTTTCCAATAATTAATTAGTTTGGTCACGAGCCAACCATTTCTAGGAAGTTGTCATGTTGTTCTATGTACATAACCTACACTTAAACTGGGGGACATGGGAGTTGAGATGTGGCCATGGAAAGGGAGGAAACTCTACCGAATATCCAAAAATAGGGAAGGAGGGCATCCCATATTAACTATATATTTGGAGTTGCAGAGATTGGGGGAATACTTTGACAGGTTTTTCAATCGAATAGCTTATTTCTCAACACTGCGCAGCATGAACATGAATTTATGAATGACTTCCCCTCAACACCATAAACATCAGTGTAAGGTAAAGCTTGTTTTTTTTGAGAATGGTAACCTATCAGTGTAAGATAAAGTTATTCTTTGATAACTAAGAAGGCTTCATGTTCATACATACAACAAACATCAGTCAACTGTCAGCAAAACCCAACAAGAACAATGTAACCAAATACAGCCATGAAACATCAAAGCAAAGCACTCCCAAAGAATACCTTCAACTTTCCGAATCTATAACTTACACCCAATAATACGAGCAGCATAAAGAAAAATGCAAACCCACCCCTCAAAACCACCACCATGTCACTGCTGAAGGTACCCAAGACCAGCTCACCAAGACTAACAGAGCTCTTCCGAACCATTAAATCATCCATTACTATGCCATCTGAAAGAAGGTAATCCATGTGGCGGGAATCATGCAATGGCCATGCCTTTGTGTCGCTTCCCATAAATGACATGTGGGTTATATGCACAGTGGCTGCAGTGACATTGATGGATGCACCTGCATAAGCCTCGTTTTGAGAGAGTTTGAGGCCTCCTTTTGTGGGGTACTCGGCAGCTAATGCGGGGCGTGCAGGGATGCAACCCAACATGTTCTGGAACCGTTTTGAGAACAATCCATCGAAGGATTCATCACTTGGAACATCTACAAAAAAGACAGTAGAATCAGTGACATACATTCCTTTTCTCAAAAAGACAAAAAGAAACAAAGAAGAAAAAGAAAAGAAAATATCCAATCTTTTGAAGGTCTAACAAAATATCCAGAAAATTGCAAAAAAGAAAAGAAAAAAGAGGATACTTGTAAAAGAATCATAGGTTTTTGCTGTTATTGTTTTGTTCTTTATAATTTTCTCAGCTTCTTTTGATAATACAGTTTGTTCTAAATGCAAATATAAATTTACAAGAAAATTATATGTCAAGAACTTAAAAAAGAATATATAAATAGCAAAAAATAAATAAAATTATAACTTCATAGTAACTCAGGCTTAGGAATTAAAGAGACTCTGAAATTTCTCCTCATTTTTCTTTCTTCTTCCATTTCTTTTAAAGTCTTCCCATGGTTTACAGTTTTCTAAAGAAATTCCTCAAAAGAAGCAATCTCTATTATAATCTACTGAAAACTTTCCTAAACAATACATTCCTAAACAAAAAATTCAGAATAGGGTTGAGGTCGTGGTGGTAGCACCACTTGAGCCTCAGCTACCGGTCTAGGTTTCCATTCCCACTGACGCATTCGAAAACCACTAATTATTTCTAACAAACGGGTAGGGACCTGTATTCCCCCACTGATCTACCCAAAAATCAACCAGAACAAGGAGATTTGTTACCAAGGATAGAACCTATATATCATATATGTATTAAACGTCACCTCAAAATGCCATGGTCTAGTGGCATTTTGGGCCTCTTTAGTGTCAACCAAATAGACTCAGGTCAAAATGACAACCAAAAAGAAGACAGTAGCTAAAATATTACACACCAGGCATCGCTTCAACTACACAGATTTGGCAACTTAAACTAAATCAGACACAGCCTATGCATGCTGCATGGACACAGCTGGGAATCCATCTGTTCCAGATGAGGATACTGGATATTAACAGTGTATCAGCATGAATGTCTCTCATCAGACACTACGCGGTTAATCTCCATAATACATGGTTAATAACAGACAGTTGATGCCCATTGGAGTACCACAGAAATACACACGACAGTGCAGGGTATATGCTCCCCATGGCAAAACAGAGATACGTAACACAGATTGACAAGAACAATTGGAAAACTATTCCTCTGACTTGATCTCCAGAAAATATTCTGAATGGTAGGAATGCATTGTATGAAGTTTCAATTGATCCCTTATTTCTTATTTCATTTTTGTAGTGAATTTCTCTGTATGACAAATACACCCTAGACCAATCAGAAAGTACCTGTAGGTTCTGAAATCTTGTCCACCTTGCCTTTGATGAACTTGTCCCCAGTCCCAGTAAATGGATCAGCTTTTTGCTCCGAGGATGAAGCACCTTCTACACCATGCACATGTGTGGTCTCATGGGTATGTGGGTTAGCAGCATATCCTTGTAATGAACCTTCAACATCAACCTGTGATTGGGGTACCATAGTCAGCAGAAGCACTTATCCCGATACTTAATCACTATCCCATACTTATTGGAGAGCACCAATATCATGCCCAATGTTGGTGCAATTTTGATTTAGGTTGAATTACAGCCGATATTTTTATCTTCAAAAAATGACTATTTTCAAAAAAAAAAAATTCATTCGAAGTTTTGAAATTTCATGTTGCGAAGCAAAGCCTAAAATAAATTCCCAGATTTTTGCCATCATTTGGTGGGAAAGAACCAGGATATGACAGCCTAGTGCATGCATGTTTGCATGTGCACGTTGCGCATGTGTGTGGGTGCATGTATATATGTGCATGTGTGCACACTCACGTGCACATGCACATGTGCCTGAGTGTGTGTGCATGCACGCTCAAACTGTGTGTGTGTGTGTGTACTGTTTGTTATACCCCTTCCTGTTGCTGGCATATGTAAAAATCAAAATTTGATCCAAAAACTGAAATTTCTAAAAATGTTTCATCCGGACAGTTACATTTTTCTTCTTACCTTTGTAACCATTTTCGATTGCTCAGGTTTATAATCTTCATTAACAGGCAGTCTGGCAGATAAGTCTGGCAAAACAGGATTTGAATCATCATCAACAGTATCAAAGAAGTTCAGGATATCATCAAGGAATTCAGACTCATCAGGTTCAGGCTCCAGGGGGTTCAATACATCTTTCATCTCTAAGAAAGACCCATCCTCAATTACTGGATTATCAATCACCGTATCAAAATATGTAAAGGGTTCAACCATCTCAGCCTCGGGTTCGACTGTCTCAGCCTCACACTTCTGGGTATCAATATGCTTCAGAATATCATTAACTTCTAAGAAGGAATCATCGTCAATGGGTGTTAGCATCTGATGAGCTTCTCCATCATAAGCATTTTCTTCCATGTCATCAAGGTCATAAGCATGGAATCCATCAATAAGAAGGCCTGCATTCAATTCCTGGAAGGAAAAAATCTTTCACACTTTAATAACACCAGTAGTAAATTTTCTGTAGCTTGGGCCAAGTGAAGGAAAGGAAACCAACATTTGTTATACAAAAAACCAATTACTGATCCATTTCATAAAGCAATAACAGCAGATACAAGTAAACCATTGAGGGTAGTCATAGATCACTAAATACAAACGGTAGTAATCAAAAAACCGAATCAAATAAACAACCCAAGACAAAAACCATCCAAGAAACAACTGAACTGCTACGTTCATGAAAAGCTTCACTAAGATGGGAGATACATGAGTCAAAGCAGGCAACAGAACTGTTCAATTTTTGTTCTTGAATAATGTGCCTGACCTCCAGGGATCCATGCTGGCAACTTTTCAATTAACTAGCATGCATAAATAGCACGGACATGATGCCAAAACCTCACATTGTGGGACCAAGTCCAGGCATGCCACCTTAATTAACTACTTAAAGAAGTCTTCACCCATCTCCTAGACATAAAGTTGTAATATTTATTAATATCTTATATACCTTCTTCTTCTCTCTTATTTTTTAGTGTAAATTTGGGATTGGTGAGAATGGAACTCTAGACATCGTATCGTGGCATCCGCCACACTGACCACCTCTGCCTAGACCCCACTCTGGTATCTTCTATACCATCGTTTCCCTTCTTCCTATCACTTTTATATCAGATCCGATCCTTCTCTTTAGATTGCCCCTTTTGTTTTCCCTTTGCATCACAAATTTTCTTATGATACTTCCTTCTCAATTCTATTTCGTTCAGTGCAGCACATCTTTATCTATCCTCAGGGCAACTAGATGCACAATCCTTTGTTTATCAAATTTAAAAATATAATCCATACTTCTCTACATCACTCGTGGTTTTGAAGCAGTCTGACGAGCAAAGTAATTTTTTTGCTACAGGCGAGTCATATGTGTTGTAGCCTAAGGTTGAAAACCACCCTGTATGAAGTGTCCTTTTAATGTTTAACTCCAAAAGTTGCCAAAATCTTTCACAGAAACAGCATTCCCACTCCACAAAGATTATTCTTGTGCACTCCTACCAATGGACTAACGGAAAGCTGATGTTAGATTTTGAGTTGAAACAATTGGATGAAATCAAATCACATTGTGAGAATGAGGAATCAACCAGGTATCCGTATATAAAATAACAAATGTACTTATATTGGTAGCATACACTGTAGAGCTGCATATATAATTTAATACGCACCACACCTAGATGACAGGCAATGCATGGAAAGCTCCACAACAGATCTGAGCTGCAACTCCTTTGTGACGTAATTGTTGTGCTGATAAAGGGCTGCTGGAGAGAGAGAGAGAGAGAGAGAGAGAGAGGCACTATTGGTATTGGTTTGGAGACATGGAACATGAAATTGTGGGTCTTATGAAAAGTGAGAATGAGGATGGTTCTAACCACTAAAGTGTGTTTCTAGTTAATGACTAAGTGAGCTGAACCGCACCATGTTCTATAAAGGGAAAGCAAAGTTGATAATGCCATTAAGAAATGCTCTCATTGAATAGCAATCTGCATTTTTTCTTACTATAAATAAGAACAGAATTAATGGATACTAAGGAATTCACAAATAGTAAAGAAGGCCATGGCCGGGGTCAATAGATAACACCCAGGATAACAGCCAGGCAAAAATAAACAGGTGGGGCAATCGCTCACATGAACCACTCCATAGGGAAGACGATAGCATACCGTGAAAATACCAGGCATTGAGAACTTTCTAACACAAGGCAAGGTGAAGAGAACATTGTCCCAACTAAAGCCAAAAGGTACTTATATATCGGTTCTTTCAAAATCAAATAAAACAGCTAACATTAAATTTTTTTAAAAAAAGCCAAATTATCCTCCAACAACAGAGCTCTCTGGCTGCTGCAGTTTACAGATCTTCTCTCATAAATGTCTTTTACGTAAATAAGTGTTTTGAGCCTTTAGACACTACTGGCGCACCAACCACACTATTTCCTTCTCTCAATGAATGCACCAATAATCCAAATTATCCTATTGACTAGTCCCGAAAAATAGTCATACAAGCTTCAAAACACCACCACATGATTTTTCTGGTGTCTTATGTTCAACACTAAGATAGACTTGCTGTTAATGGTCATTTACACAGTACTGATCTTTGAAACTACATGGTCAGCTTTACATATCATATGTAGTACACCCAACAACCCATACGATATAAATACCACTAAGCAATAGACTAACTACTCCACTAAAGTTACTTTACGAAACAAAAATTTACTCGAATAGGAGACGAGTACATACCTGATTATCACCATTGTGCTGAAGAAACCCATTCTCATGGGAAAGCCAAGCAAAATCATCTTCATTAGCTGGCTGTAGTTGCACATTGTCTTCATCTTTAAGATCATGAGCATGTGATTTAATATAAGATGAAAAGATATTTTCATTGGTGCTACCGGAGCTACCATCCAAAATGGGTGCCTGATCAGATACTAATTCATCCATCTCTTGTTTAGGAACCACAACAAGCTGATTCATTTGAGGCTCTGACGAAGGAGCCACACCACTGACCATAGGGAGTGGTATCAGAGAATCAGCCACAACATCATCTTCCCATTCCTCTTCATTGAATGGTGCCCCATATTGGGCACCATTTCTGGGTCCAGGGCCATTCTTCTGAAAAATTCTACATAATACATATGCATCCTGCCATTGATAGGAAATTAATGAATAGCAAGAAAATGAAACAGAAAAATTTTCTCACATTTCAAGAATAAAAACCTCCATTATAGCATAACTTCTGTTTTCCTTCAGTTTTTTATAGATTCGCATGTATTAAACAGAACACAAAATTGGGTTCCAATATTCTTGATTATCCTTGTTAACGTATGTAATCAATAAAACCAAAACATGCATCGTCACAAATGCTTATTACCTGTACAATTCCCTTGTCGTTCAATTCCTTGTCTTCAAGCCTATACTCATGCATGACCCAATTAGTTCGCTCTCCATTTGGCGCTCGACCGACATGGAAAACCAGTGTCTTCTTCATGCCAACAGTTCGCCCATTACGTCGAATTGGTCGATCCTTTCCAGTGGTTTTCCAAAACCCAATCTCTGTAGCTCGATTTGTACGTGAACCCTTTCCATGTTTCTTATCAAGGGGGCTAAAGAAGTACCATTCTAGGTCCCTGGTTTTCAGCAGAGACTGACCTGTACCCCGAAGAATTCAAATTCAGTATTTATTAAAATGAAACTGTTTGAATATCTGTAAAACAAACATAAAATCTAATAAAAAAGATTGAAACCCTTAAATAATAAGCTTGCCCCTTCTCCGACTGATTACTTACCATGGATATGGATTACACCATAATTATCAGGAAATCATGATTACCAAAATAATCATATGGTTTAATTCAATCTACAACAAGCGAAACCAGAATTTTCTCCTCGTACTCAACGTTTTGTTTCTTATCATAAATACGGCTTCTGATCATAATTAACCAAGCAAAATTAAACACATCGATTCTAACAGAAAGTAATATAACAATATCTTCAACCATCGATTAAATCAGGGAGGAACTGGGAAAAAGATAACAAAGCGACGCCAGTATTAATCAAATTTCACTGAATTTCAGAAGAATCAAAGGTAAAACAATATGACCATCAATCATCCATCAATTCACCAATAAGCAAACTAAAGTAACCATCACCAGAAGAAGGATTACCCGGAAGATCCCATGGCTCGGATTTGTAGAGATCGATCTGGGAAATAGCATTACAGTGTAATGATTTTCCACAAACTTTTCTCTTCAGATAATAGCTCACGATCTCCTCATCGGTGGGGTGGAAACGAAAGCCAGGAGGAAGCGAAACCTTACCCATTCATAAATTATCTGAAACCCTAAAAAAAAAAAATCCCTAATTCGCAGAAATCCTAGAAATCAAGAGAGAGAAATAGGGTAAACCATGGAAGCAGCAGACGAGAACCTACAAATAGGCCTCGTATTTCCTCACTTTTGACTGGATGGAAAATGAGAATAATTACTTGCAAAAAGTTTGTTATTTGCACCTCTACATTTTGCTTCTCCACCCAAAAAAAAAGTCCTACCTAAGCTAAAAAGTGTTTAAAAAATATAAAAAATCTAAAAAATAGTAAAATATGTTTAAAATAAAATTTAAAAAATACACCTGGGTGAGGTTGAAAAATAGTGAAAAATATATTTTGAAAAAACTTAATTTGTGATAGTATTTTAAATATAATCTCAAAAAATAGAAAAATATCATCATCAACGTTATTTAATTTTTATCCCACTTATTTTGGGTTCGCTATGATAAGATATGACAAACTACATACCTAATGTAACCCAACTTGAAACAAATTAAGAAAAAGTCTAAAATCCTTACTTTTATTATAACAAAAAAATATAAAGATAAATATTTATAAACAAAATACTTTCCAATCTTAACTAAAATAATAGAAAATATAAAACGATCTAGTTTCTATGCGGCCAAGCCTGCATATGTAAAAATACGGGCTTCTTAATAAATCTATTTTTTAGATACTTAATTTTTAAAGACATGGAGATCATGAATATGAAAAAATAAATAAATTTTAAAAGAAATAAATAAACTTTAAAAGCTATAAATAATAATTTTAATAATAAAACATTTGGACAGTTAGTTTCTATTGTTTTTAGATGAAATGCCTACTAGTATCCATTTTTAAGATGAATGCTTTACACTTTTTAGAGCACATATATAAAAATGCGGTCTAGCCAGCATGAAACAATTTTTCAATATAAAATATATATTTTAAATAAATTTTTATTCAATTAATATATATTTTTTGAATTTTTTAAAAATCCCCAAGATGATTAACGCACTCAGAGATACTCCTAACAAGTCCGAGGGGGCTCACCCAAGTAATTGAATACTCTCTATGTTAAGATATTATATAACGATAGAATTGAAATTGAGCTTGGGTCAAATTGGTAGTAGCTAGGTTTTCATAGCACTACGTCTCAAGTTCTATTCCAACATAACCTCGTAAACAAACAAAAAAAAAAGATAGAAAATCTTATGCATGTTTTGTGGGCCATTTGGAAGTATGGGTGCTAATAGTAAATATGTAAATATAACTTGGCATGGCCTTATTGCTCGCCACTTAGAGATTGACATGTCGCACGAGTGAGTAGTATACGCTCGTGCGAAACTTTCTTGTCAAGTAGAGGAGTAGTGGAGTCCGCATGATATTAACCCAGTTGTCATCACCGTGTCATCAAATGTTGGACGATGATGGAAGAAGTGGGGTCCCACCCAAATAATTTGAATTGACGAATAGTACGGGCCTTCTTCACAGTCCAACGCATTGATTGGACGGTGATAAACTAAGGGGTGTAGATGTTATGTTAACAAAAAAATCATGTTATATTTCCCTCAAGAATAGATGGAAATTTCATGTGACTTTTTGTGTTGGAGAGGGCCGGAGAATCAATAGAGAGGATAGTGAAATATTAAAAGTAGTCACTAACATAAAATCACCTGTAATACTTTAACAAAAGAGTTATTTTGCAATTAGTTGAGTGTTTGTCATGTTTTGACAGGTCTTAATTTCTTTTTCTTTTTGGTTAACTTAAATGTAAGAATCAATATTTGAGTTTATGTCATGTTTTAGCAAGTCGTAATTCCTTTTTTTTATTGTTAACTCAGCAGTAGGAATCAAACTTGAGATACGGCATTATTAAATGTTAGCCACTAACCACTCAAACCCAAGTCCGATTCTTGCAGCTCCTACTTCTTATATGTTATCGTTCAACATTTGATTGGATTGTGGTAACCCTCTATACTATGGTTTTCATTTAGTTTTGTTTAGTCAAGAATTGTGACTACCATAATATTAGCGGACGTACATGCATGCTAGAAAATCAATAAAATATTATATAAATTGACACTACCCTATACAAAATTAAAATATGTATATATCATTAACTTTTAATTGTGGATGATTCTTATCTTTGATGATTTTAGCTGTGTATTGGGCTTACAAAATATTATATATGAATAAGATGCTTCTTAAGGTTTAGTATGCTCTTTTTTATAAGTGAAAAGTAAGCAATTCCATTATTAAAAAAAGAAAAAATATCTCCATACCCCTATTTTTAAGTTTTATATCTCAATAAACCCAAGTTTTCAAAACATAATTTGGGTCATAAAAATTCTAAGTTTTAAATCTTTTAATCCCCTAAGCTAACTTTATCCCATTTAAACATATTTTTTTTCCCTCCAAACAAATATAAGAAAGATATATCATTTTTAAACACCATCATTCTCTATCTTCACGTGATTTTCCCCTAAATCTCTCTCTACCTATTTTCACACTTTCTCCCCTATGTCTATCACTCTCTCTCTCTCCCCCCCCGTTAGAGAGACAAAGAGGGTGAAGGTTAAAGAGAGAGAAATTTGGGAGGAATATATCACGTAAAGAGAGGAAGGGTTTAGAATGAGCATATCTTTTTTATATTTGTTAGGGTTAAAAAAATACTTAAAAGTGGATAAAGTTAATCAGGGAGGTAGAAGATATATTTTGAATCTTTGGATCTATTGTGATATGAAAATAAAAAATAGGGTATAAAAGGATAATCACCTTAAAAATTTTTGAAAAGGAATAATCATTTACTTTGATATTTGACATCACATGAAAAGGCCCGGGGGTAGTGTTAACAGGTGTCCGTGTCTATAAATGTCGCAAGTTTCTCAACATTATGTCACTGATGTCCCCCTGGGTATGAAACAAAACTGATGAGGCTTTGAAGTGGCATCCCTTGGTGATGTCGGAGTTGCCCAGAAGCGTGAGTTAAAGGACTGTGTGATCCTTTTGTGTGATGGTTGGTCTCTAGAGATGAGGAGTAAAGCCTTATAACTAAATCATCACGTGGCATGTACATATGATAATCATATAAGAAAAGCGAGTTACCATTGAAGGTGAACCATGTACATGTGCGAGAGATTACCCATATGCACCATAGACCTGTGGTTGCATCAAGTCTATGTGATATTAGACTCGTCTCTAGGGGAAAACATGTAATCCATAGACTGAGAATGTGTTCCCTTTTCTATTGGCTGACTTTGGTAGCCCAATCATAAACCCCTGCAGTGGTCTGTGGGTTATGTGAACTGCTGGGTCAGTTTGAGAAAGCAAGTCGTGGATCATAGTCTACAGTAGAAGATTGAGCGCTTCAGAGATATTATAACTCCTAGACCTAGTTGGATTCTATTCCCATCAAAATTATTTAGAATTAATTATTTTGATGTGAAATGATTTTTAGATTGATTATTTGAATTTTTATGAGTCTCTGGATATTTTATTTTTACAAAAGATATTTATACATTAAGAGATACTATTTTTTTAGTATTTAGATATTCAGAGATAAATAAAGTTGATTTCTCATATTCTAAAATTTAATTTTATATTTTCATAAATCATATATGATATGGGGGCCACTATAGGATCACATGAGATATGCGTGTGGGGCCCACATGGGAGCCTCATAAATATCATGCCACCCTTAGTGGGTATATCATTTTCCTATTGTCTATATCTTATTGACCAAGGCAATTAACAAGATATGTATCATGGAAACTTTTGATATGAAAGAAGTTTTGGATATTCAAAAGATATATGTTATGGAAACTTTTGATATATAAGAAGTTTGAATATTAAAAAAATGTCTGTGAATAAAGAGATTTATTAAAGAGATAAGAAACTATGATTTATTGTTTATAATTTATTATTTGATAGGAATTAGGTTTAGGAAGCTGAAGGATAAGGTTCTAGCACATTCTTTTGAATTATGATGATTAATCGAAGAATTAGATGGCTCAGATTTCTCACTCCACAAGTATCCTATGATCAATAGTCTGGATCTAATCTCAATAAAAATAGCTAACCTAAGGAAACTTAACCCCTGGAAACTCTATAAATAAGGGGCATCTCATCTTATATTCACACACGTCTCCCTACATCTTTCATATCTCTCTACTCTCCCTGGGGAAGCATGCCACCCTCTAACTGCTTTGTCTCTCTAAGATCTCTCCATCTCCCCTTAGATAATATTTAGGGGTAGAAAATAGGGGCTACGCCCAAGCTAAGGCTAAGCGAGGGGCATGCCCCTACCACTAGCCATTGAGGTCTAGACTATGGCCTCCTAGTTGTTTCATGCTCGCATATTGCGAAGGGTTGAAACCTTAGCTTTCTCATACTTTGTAGATCTAAGATAAACCATTGATCTCATACGTAATGGAGGAGGACACCAAGTGTGGGGTGTACTAAGTCTAGTTACAATAATCTTCCAGCATCTTTACTTTGTGCTTTACAATACCTTATTTCTTATGCTTTCTTGCTCCTATAAGCATTATGTTGGTTTTATTCATTGCACAAAAGAAGTTGTAATTATTAGCATCATGTGAGAGTCACTTTTTGGTTATTTACTTGTTTATTTCAAATGAGTTTTATTATACTTGGACTTTTGTAAGTGTTATAATCAATGAGAAAAAGAAAAATTAAAAGCTATATACATTGTACTCGATCGCCTTGTCCAACTTTCATTTCTGCCCTTTGGTATTTTGACCATCATGTCTTTTGATATTCTTATACAATCTTCAAATTTTTTCAGTGCCATCTCCAATATAGATTAGGAAAGAAGCAAATGATGGATTAGATATTGCTTGCATGTTTTGGTATAGTTGTAATTTAATTACTTGAGGGCCATAAATGAGAATTGTTTTTGAATTTGATATTGCTTTCATGTTTTGGTATAGTTGTAATTTAATTACTTGAGGGCCATAAATGAGAATTGTTTTTGAATTTGATAGTGCTTGCATATTTTGGTATAGCTGTAGTTTAATTACTTAAGGGCCATAAATAGGAATTTGTTATTGAATTCGCTACAAGTTCTACTCTTGTTTCATGGGGTACTACATGCAAGACTTGTCAAAATTCTTTACAAAGAATC